TTATGAATTATGAAGGGTTCATGAGGGAGGGGGAGGGGGAAAGAAGAGGGAAAATGAGCAACTGATATTAAGGGCTAAAGTAGAAGGCAAATGTTTTTAGAATGATGAGGATAACAAATGTACATATGTGTTTGACAAAATGGATGTATGTATGGATTGTGGTAAGAATTGTGCGAGCCCCCAATAAAATAATAATAAAAAAAAGATATTAGTGACCTAAACTAAATAACAATATGAATAACATGAATGGACACATTTGTACATTTAATCAAATGTACATGTATTCCATGTAGAGAGAAATAAATTATATCAGAATGAAGCTAAAAAAAAAAGTTAACCTAAGACAGAGATCAGGCTTCCTCACCTTTTTACTCTCTCATCACAACTCCTAACAATAGTAGTCCAGCACCAAAGTTTTCTTGGGATTTTGGCACCAAAATAAATGGTTGCAGTACCATGCATATGCCTTGTGTGCATAGGTATGCATAGTAAAACCAAACACACTTCTTCAATCATAAAATTATTAAATATTTGAGAAATAGAAGAATTTACTTAGAGCTTCATAGGCACTATTAACAATAAGACATGATATTGTGCTGGATATTTCAAGAGTAGATGCAAGTATTACACCCAACCATATTCTACTATGAAGTGTGACATTTGTATTAAACTCCTATAACATTCTTTTAGTACCAGTATCTATGAATAACATAAAGCTACTAGTATCAAATGACAGGAAGAACTGGAGAATACATTATTCTGGGATCATCTAGGTGTTAACTAGTTTATTTCAATCTGCTTCCCTTTTGTCAATTTAAAAAGTTAACTTGTTGAAAGAGATGATATACTCATGTGGTAGATAATCAAAGGTTATGAAGGAGTAAAGAAGGCTTCAAAAAGTTTGTGGGAAACTTCCATTGTCTTTTAATTCCATTTTCCATGAACTGTTGAAGCTCCTTTGGATACAGTGTCTCCTTCCTACCTCTGTCTCCAGCTCCTCTCGAAACAATGACGATTTTTCATTTCCCGAGGACTCCTTGAGACACTCTTTTCCATATTAAGCAATCACACACACTTCTCATTTAAAGAAGTGTTAGCAGATGTCACACATAGTTCTGCACTGTTTGGTTACATTTTAATTTTATATTCCATATCAGTATATAGCTTCCTTTCGCCACATTTATTAAAATAAAAAACAGCTTCCTAGTACTCCACTGTTTGGATGTACCACAATTCATTTAACTATCTCCTGTTGATGAATATTTAGGGTTTATAATATTTCAGCATAAAGAATGCTGCAATGAGTAACCTTGCAAGTACATTTTACACATTTCCAAGTATACCCATATGATTAAGTCTTATAATTACAAGAAACGCTCCTGGATCAATGGTTATTTGTACCTTTATATGAGAGGTATTACTAAATTGGTATTTATAGCCTGTCAATGATAAATGTGTAATTTGTTTCCTAAGCAATGTAGCGAGAAGTAGGATTGGAATGATTTCATCATATTATTAACTGGAAAACTTGGCAGGAAGGATAAATGTTTGCTTAGAAGAATGCTAAAACTGATGGCAAAATGAATTTTATGGTGATAATTACTATTGTTTTAGACATAATTTAATGGACGCATTATTTTTAGTTAATTAAGTTACTCTGGAGGGACTAAATACTTGTATTATTTGTCAGAATAAAATATGTAGGTTAAAACATTTATACTTCAGGCATTCCTCTCGCTGGCATCGAGTCAGTTTTGACTCACAGGAAGACTCCAGGGCAGAGTAGAACTGCCCCTGTGGGTTTCTGGGACTATAACTCTTTATGGGAGTTGAAAGCCTCATCTTTCTCCCACAGAACAACTGGTGGGTTTGAACTGCTGACCTTGAGGTGAGCAACCTAACACATAATCTACTGTACTACCAGGATTCCCCAAGCTTCCTATTTATGAATGACAAAAACACAACAAAAACCTGAAGTGCCTTGGGCTAAGTACGTTTGAAGCCCAGTCTTGTTCTTTTTTCCTCTTTGCCTGTAACAGAGGTTCAAATACAGTGAACCATCGCCACTTCGCGCTTCGACTTCCGCGGCTTCACTCTATCGCGGTTTTTGCGTAACAGCACTCACTGCCTACACCCGCTCCTTCAGAGGAAAAAGACGGCGACCCACCTGTAGAGTACATCCCTTAAGTCATTTCATAGGCTATTG